CTGGAAAAATGCAAGCAATCTATTACGTCGACATGAAGAAAGTTCCTCACATAGACAAGCTTTAATTTCACTGTTGATGCACAAAAACAAAGGTTTAGGTGTCGATTCCCAACTTGTAAAAGAAATGGAGACTGAATAAAAGTATTGACGCACACTTCTAGAGCGAATAATTGAAGTTGTAAAGTTTTAGCAGAAAGAGGCCTTTCATTTCGCGGTAGGGATGAAACTGTTGGCTCTCCTCATAACGGAAATTACTTGGGGTTGTTAGAATTACTGGCCAAGTTTGGCATTTTCTGGCAGAGCATATAAATACTCATGCAAACAAAGGAAGGGCACATAAATCATACCTATCTAAAACAACATGTGAGGAATTCAATCTGATTGAATCCAGCATACTGGATCACATTATCTGTGAAGTGAAAACAATACAAGTATTATTCTGTTTCATTGTATTCTACTCCAGATATATCTAATGTGGAGCAGCTGACTTTGACTGTGCGCTATGTTTTGTCGTCTGGACCAGTTGAAAGATTTGTGAAGTTTTTGGACATGGAAGGTCATAGTGCTGAACAGCTCGCTTAAAGTTATGACAATGCCAGCAACATGAGTGGCAAGTATAGTGGCTTACAAGCACGAAGTAAAGAGCTGAATGAGTTTGCGGATTACATTCCATGTTTTGCACATTCACTAAATTTGTTTGGAAAATGTGCTGCTGAATGTTGTTGTCAAGAAGCATTAATTTTCTTTGAATTTGTAGGAAGCCTGTATACATTTTTCTCTGCTTCTACCTATCGATGGGATCTTCTTTCTGCTGCATTATCTGATGGTGGTGCTCATTTGCCATTGTGAAAAGAATGTCAGATACCAGGTGGTCAGCTCGTGCAGATGCAACAAAAGCACTTTTAAACAGCTTTCCTGCAATAAAACAAGTCTTGGATGACGTTTCAACTAACAATGATCAGAAGGCAGAGTGTCGACAACAGGCTCGTGGACTACTTTCAACCATGATGAAGTTGGAAACAGGAATAATGGTCATATTGTGGGATCAAGTATTACAGCGTTTTCAAATGACCAGTGCTTCTTTGTAATCTTCTGGCCAAGACTTGAACACAGCTTGTGCACTCTATGAATCCTTGCATGGATATATTCAAGCTATGCGGTCTACCTTTCCAGACATTGAGCAAAAAAAAACAACCAAGGATCTGATTGAGTGTGAAGATTATCAACAACAAACTCGAAGAGAACACAAGCGAAATCGCGAGTATGATGATTTCAGTGGTTCCAGCACTCTTGATCCACTTGTTGAATCCCAAACGCCTTCTCATAAGTTTAAAAGCCGAACATTTCTTGCCATTGATAACCGTGTCAAAACGCCAGAAAGCTTATCAAAAGTTGAATGGTGTATTTGGATTCCTTCGTCAGTTACAGTCGTTTACACCTGAAGAGATTGTAAAGAGGTCATCAAATCTTATCAAAGCATATCCGGAAGATCTGGAAGAAAGTCTTGGTGAAGAATTTGTGCAGTATGCTGAACTGCTTAAAACTGATCTTGCTTCTCATATTGGCGCCAAACAAGACCTTGTAGAATTACAGTTTTACCGTTTGGTAACTGACAATTCTTTGGAGTATTGTTTTCCAAATGTAAAAAATTGCCTTGCGCATCTATTTGTCACTCATGGTTACCAACTGCAGTGGAGAACGTTCATTTTCAAAACTGAAAAGGATTAAAAATTAACTACGGAGCACAATGGGTCAAAACAGATTGAACAATATCACTAATGAGCATTAAACATGAACTTCTGCGTGAAATAGACATTTCCAGTATCATCAACAAATTTTCTCATGCTAAATCTAGAAAATGTAACTTTTAAATTGTAGTTTTGTTACTATTGACATTTGAAATTGGTACCTACATGTAAGTAATACTATCAATGAAATGTCAGACATATTTTTCGTATTATCTGGCTGTATAGCAAATGAAAAAATTAATTACTTTACTTTACTATGCAAGTAAAAAAATTTATGTTTCAATATTTGTGTATTTTTTTAATTTAGGGCCCCTTTATAACATATGCTACAGGCCCCACACTAGCTTAATCCGGCCCTGATATTTATCGTCCATGCTCGTGAATAACATTGATCGCCTTTATGAAAAAGTTCTCGGCAAGCTTTGAAGAAACTTCCCAATGCAACTAGGTCTTCGAAATAAATCTCTGGTGGCGTTTTCAGCGAAAAATAAATAAGCATCTGACAAAAAAAAACAAAAAAACACCACCACCAAAAGAGCTTCTAATTCTCCTGCTTTATATCCCGGAAAAAAAGGAAAAAATCAAAAAGCAGATCGAAAACCTATGTTGTAATACAATATTCTTGTTGGGTCAAGCATGGATTTAGTTGAACTGTCAATTATGAAGTCAAGAAAGAAAGTTTATTCACTATATTCCCACAAAAAAGGCACATTTAGGCTACAGTTTTGTTTTTACGATCATCATACAAGCAAGATACAATTACAAACTGAAGCTGCTGAAAAGAAAATTTACTTTATATGCTATGGTTAATTTCAATACCAAAACAATGGAAATATATGAAGAAACAAACTTCCCTCAAAAAAACCCTTATATTTTTGTGGTATTAACCTCCAGTTTGTGAAGCTGCACCTCTATGTTAATTCCAGTGATAAGCCACCATCTAAGTGTAAATTTGTATCAATGTTGGCAATGGATGTGACAAACATAGTGTGGCTTGAATACTATCATTATACACTCTTTTAATTATTGAAAAACCCTACGAGACTAGATTAAGATTGTAGTGTTTAAAATGCAATAGGTCTAAGCCTAATGTCTTATGACAAGTATAATAGTAATCATTCTTCGCCGGCTTGTAAAAGGTGTACACACCACACCTTTTTAGTATTTATAACATAGTAGAATTGATATAGTCATACCCATCCTTAAAGTTAAAGCTTTGACTAGATATACGAATTGATGTATAGAGCAGAAAGTGTACTGCATCATCTTATAATATGACACCTATTGGTAATGTTAAGTACTATTAAGCCCAAGCGTGGCCCCAGTGTTAGCGTGTCGGGCTACAGTCGGAGGGTCTGGGGACTCGAGACGATGCTGCTAAACACACACACTACACTTTAAGCTGTGGGTACATCATAAAAGTGACAGTAAATTCCGTTATCGATTCAAAGAGCCGTGTAAAAAACCTTTTAGCAGCGGATATTATTTGGTTTGCTGCCTCCCCCTCTCCTCTGGCGAGTAGTTCAAACTAGAGAATACTATACCATAATCCCAGGGGGGGGGGTCTCTGATCTGGCTATTAAATTTAAACCCATGTGGCTATAAGATGCCATTCAGGATGAAAATTCCAAATCTGCTAAGTCGAAAAAAAAAACTTTCCGAATTAAAAGAATAAGACAAATCACGCTTGGTCATTTATGTCTGAAAAACGCTTTAAATCAATATATTATCTCATATATATCCGCACAGCGGTTTTCTGGCCCTTAAGAACCTGTCTTACCTATTTCTTGATCTTAAATCTTTCAAGCCTTGAAGAGGCCTGAAACACAATCAGGGGCGCTCAGAAACTGTTGTTTCTCTTCGCCTTTAAGAACAGCACCGAGAATGCCTTACATACATACACTAATGGCCCCCTTTGGTCGAGAAATGGCGTTTACTGGCCTTTCTCAATACCTAGCCCATTGGCTCGGGAAATACTTCTTCCAAATTACTCACTTGTAATTTGAATTCAAACAAAAGAAACTGATTATCTTTGAGTTAAACTCAACAAGAATTTCACCATTGTTTATGGTGGTTACTGATACCCATGATTTTAAGAAAATACAATTTTTGAAAATTTTCGTGTTTTTTTTTAACCATTTTATAAAAACCATTAATTTTTTCCAATTATTCGACTAATTACATCTTAATATTTCCGCAAAAATAGTAGCTTGCTCTTCTTAAAAATTATTATTTTAAATTCAGCTAAAAAGAAAAATGAAGTACAATAATTATTTATTTAAAAAAAACACGTCTTACAAATACACGACATAAGGATTTTTTACGAGTTGGTGTTTTTACATAAGCGCACGTTCAACAAAAAAAAACTGTTGGAAGATACGAAACAAATATTAAAAACCTTACATAAAAACACACTGGCCGCCTATTCGGAGATCTGTACCAATGTTCTGTCACTGACTCCCCAAATATGCGTATGATATGTCGTAGACTTTTTATTTACGCCAAATAATTTTATAATTCTAAGAACGCACGAGTGAAAGTTTGTAATTAAGCACAAAGCTACATAATGGGTATCGAACCTCGGTTTCTTGCGTTGTAAGTCTGCAGACATCCCGCTGTGACACTAGGTGCACGAGTATAAGCAAGGGAGAAGTTAAGTTATTGTCCTGTATGGGATTTTAGTATTAACGAGATATTATAATGAACATGATCGATAGCAGACAGCTGCTGTAATAGATTCCATATAGAACGTGTATAACGTAATTGTTCTGCGTTAAATCATGTTACCTTTTCCCAGTCCTTATTGACTTACAAAAGATTTGATATTTCAGTGGTAATAATTCTAATTATTCTCTATAACCTTGGTCGCTGAGCTTGAAGTTTTTCTTTCGTAGCATCCGAGTAAGCTGACCACGTGGAAGTGCGGTTTCGAAGTTTAGTGCGGGCCCATTCTTGAATGGTTCCCGTTAGTGAGGGCACTCGTCCAAGCAGGAGAACAATGGCTCCGTCAGTGTTCTGGACGTAGATGAACATGGTAGTAATTAAGGTAGTGTCGTATTAACATATATTAACTTGATAACATGATAGTAATTAAGGTAGTGTCGTATTAACATATATTAACTTGTTAACATTGTAATAATTAATGTATTGCAATTTTAAAATAAAGAACTTCATAAATATAGTAATAATAATAATTTATGAACTTGATAAACATTGTAATAATTAACGTATTACAATGTTAAAATAAAGAACTTCATAAATATAGTAATAATAATTTATGAACTTGATAAACATTGTAATAATTAATGTATTACAATTTTAAAATAAAGAACTTCATAAATATAGTAATAATAATAATAATTTATGAAACTTGATAAATATGGTTGTACGTAACTATTAGCGTATTAGTATACACGTAATAATACGGATCCTTAAGCGTTTTGCTGAATATTTTTATCTTAGTTCGTAAGATAAATTAGCATATAAATCCAAATACAAAGAGATATTAGTATATTTTCAATTGAATATTAATAATTCTTTAAAAAACAAATATTTTGTCATTTCCTTGAGAAACATAAATTACGAATTTCAGATTCTTTTATCTCAGGATGAGCTTCGAATATAAACAACACAAACTGCAATTTAACTTGATAAAAACTCAGTTTAGTAGATTTTAACGCTAGAAATAAACGACCTTACAACACCCAGTTTGTTATTTTCTTTAATTATACACTCATCTAAAATACAAACCGTAACTGACAGTAGAAAGCTTAAAAATAAACTTTGTACGGTCAGTTATGGTGTGTTTAGTGGAACGTTCCTGAAGAAGCTGCAAAGCGAAACGTTGCGTGTCTAATTCAAGAAAAATAACAAATTTGGTGTTATAAGGTCGTTTATTTCTAGTGTTAAAATATCTTTTATACACCAATATGCACTACGGCAATTAACTAATCCGTTTAGTAGATTGCAAGAAAATGTACTCTGATGATTAGTTTATTCGAACAATTAAACACAGTTCATTCTGAGAAACCTTTCATACCTTTAGAATGTCTGCCACATTTTTTTGGTTACTTTCTCTGACGTTGTGTCCGTTAATTTCCAAAATTTGGTCTCCTTGGAGAATTCTGCGACCGTGACGTGCTGCGATACTTCCAGGCTGCTGTAAGAAACCCGTTCTTTGTGTAATTTTTTCCCCTCTTATATATGGTGCTGAATTCATTAGTCAGAACTAAAAATCAAATGACTATCTAACCCAGTGATAGTCATCTTTCCTTGTTTTACAACCAGAAAAAACCGTTTCGTTTCGGCGTTTGTTAAATAATATTAACTTCAAATCAGAGCAAGCTACCTACTTAGAGCGAAACTAAATAGTCAAACTGGTAACGAGAATAGCTAACTAAGTATACCGTTATTACTTATAAAGATTAGAATACATCGTTTCTTCATTTGCTGTTAGCGACGAAATATTCTATCGCATAAAAAAAACAACTACATTATAATGTGACGGTCAATCCCACTATTCGTTGGTAAAAGAGTAGCCCAAGAGTTGGCGGTGGGTGGTGATGACTAGTTGCCTTCCCTCTCTAGTCTTACACTGCTAAATTAGGGACGGATAGCCCTCGTGTAGCTTTGCGCGAAATTCAAAAACAAACAAACAATATCTGACTGGTCATAAAAACTTTGTTCCCCAAAACAACATTCTTAATAAAAAAAAAGTAAGAATTGCTGCCAATAGTGCATTCCGATGAAGTATGATCTTCTAAAACTAAATCCCAAAGAATAGATGACACAATTCTTCATCTACGTGTGTATGATTTTCCTAAAGAATTAGAAAAAAAAAGACCAAAAATTAAATTTGAAAACTTATATTCAACCTAATTAGAAAATCGAGTAAAATATTACGAAAACGTGCTATTACCTACCACATATGTAATAAAAACCCCTTGGCCATTTCTGAAAAACACAAACATACGAATTAACAGTCACCTGGTGAACATGTTTGCCTCACTTCAAAAGATGCACTACTATTGTATGTCGGTGTTCACTGTCACACATATACAAGTTTACACAAACGATATCCTCTTACTTTTATTAAAACCATTTTACTTGTACGAACAATCAGAAATTTGAGTTCATTATTCAGTCTGTTATATTCAGTTTTATATTATAATATTTCAAGGAAATGTGTTTGAAACTTTTAAGATATTTTGACGGATAAAAATACAATTATTAAACTAATTTCTCTAGCTATCCATGATAAAACAAAGATTCACTATTTTAAGTGTGATTTAATGGCATCAAAATATCAATTGTCATTTTTTCTATCAACCTATTTCTCGACGAACTCCTTAAAAGAAGAATTCGATAATAGGAGAATATGTAATAACTTCTGATTGTATTTATTTATTTTTAAGCCTGATAAAATCAGTAAAACAAATAACACAGGCCTGCGAATTTAAACTTCATAAAAGTTGTTTTGGTTTTAATAACGGATTTTACATAATTCAGCTTCGCAGATTTCGAAAATAATATTCCTTTTTTTTTGTAAGAATATTTACAAATCGGGAAGAAAAATACTCTTACTTAGATCAAATTATTATTTCGTTTGCCACAATGAAGATTTTTTATTATTTTGTTTGTTAACAAAAATACAAAAAAAACGAAGAAAAGTTTGTTATGCACAAAGCTACACAATGGGTTATCTGTGCTCTACCCACCACGGGTATCGAAATCCGGTTTCTAGCGTTGTAAGTCCGCAGATATACCGCTGTGCCACTTGGGGGCGTGAAGAAAAGAGAAGAACATTGATGTCAAACGAATACGTATCCTCATTCATCCTGATTTTTTTTTTTTTGTGAAATCTACGTATTTTAGTCTCAAAACTACGTGTTGTGGTCATTCTTTTATTTATTGCGTTATGACGTTTTGTGAAAAATCTGTACGTGATGGAGAAAAATGGATATAATTTTCGGATTCTGCGTACAGAAATTACTGTAGAATATGTATAAAATTTCCAAGACAATAAAACCATCGCTGGCCTGTGTTATCAATACGACGTTCTTATTTACAATAAAGCGTCTTTCATGTTCGAGTAGTGGATTTTCTAATACAAGAAGTCAAGTTTAAAGTTTTAATTACTTATTTTATGAAGTATGACTACGTATGTGTTTTATCAATAGTAATCTTTAACTAAAAAATACAATTATTCTAGAAAAGCTAGTATGTGTGTCTATTAAAGCTTAACTAAACTACCTCAAAATCTGGGAATCTATGTTCTTATCATTTCTATATTTGATTAGTTTTACCAAATACACATAACAAATTAAATGGAAGCTTTCCAAAACTCTTAAATATTTTGTAAATATTCTTTATACAAAAACATGTTGCCAGACATGACAGTATGGAAGGATATTATTATTATTATTTATCCTTGCCACATCCTGGTGATCATAATCTCAACTATGATAGCAAACGATCTTAGCTCTCTCGTGATCAGAAGCTCAACCCCACCGATAAACGGTCTGGACTCCCCAAGTTACACAATGTACTAAGATTCAAAGAAACTTGAAGTGTGACAAATAGGTATTTATGGATAACCGAAATGTAGCTCCCCTCGTGGTAAAAACCGTAACAAACTTTATTATTGAATTTCAGATATGTACTCATGGATAAATTGTGCATTTCGAGCAGCCATTTTTTGAACTTCTTATCTTGGCATCAATTGCTTAGCTTTAGGACTTGTTTACATTTAATGAATATAGAGGCACAGTTCATTTATTAAAAAGCTGAAATGTTTTTAACATAGAAAGGTAACGGTTAAACGGAAAATGTACGAACGTTGGTTCGAACTTGATTTAAGGATAACTCTTTGTAATAATACTTCAAAATGTAAGGATAAGAGTTGTCTGTTACTCACGCTCGCTGCATCATGCTAAGACCTAACCTTTCGGTGACACTGGACTTTCGGAGCTCCTCTGTAATGAATTTGGTTATGCCTAGACAAGAGAATTTTGGAATTAGTTGTGTCACAATTTCATCTTAAACAGACATTAACATGATCCTACAGAATATAATTTTAATAAATTATTTATAAAACACAAAGTATTTTGATTAAACAACAAGTAGGATTTTCATAACACGACAAAAATGTTTTTTACAGAACTATTAGGACTTTGATTACACAACAAACAGGGTTCTGATTACGTAACAAACATGATTTTAATTACATAAACATTATTTTGAGCACGTAATGAGTTGGATTTTGATTACACAAAAAAGCAGGGTTCTGATTACACAACAAAAAGGGTTCTGATTATGATTACACAACAAACAGAGTTCTGATCATACAACAAGTAGAATTTTTATTACACAACAAACCCAGAAACATGTTTGTTGTGTGATCAGAACCCTGTTTTTTGTGTAATTAAAACCCTTTACACAACAAACAGAGTTCTGATTACACAACAAAAAGAGTTCTGATCATACAACAAGTAGAATTTTTATTACACAACAAAAAGGTTCCAATTACTCAACAAACAGGGTTTTAATTACACAAAAAACAGGGTTCCAATTACACAACAAACAGGATTTTGATTACATAACAAGTAAGGTTCTGATTACACGATAAGCATGGTTTTATTATGTATGCACATTTCATCTCCAACGCCCAAGCATCTCCTGTTAGCATTCTATATCAAAAGTTGTTACATCAGCTTGAACCTGTATGTAAGCGACCACACAAATATTAGAAAATGAATCATAATGTCTTCTCTTCCTTGCTGTTTTATTTATTTAAAAAGTATATATAGTGATGACACTTTTAACGGAACTAACTGAAATGCATAAAATAAATATAGGAGTAGAACGTTGCTTTAATATTTTACGACTTATTTTTCAGAGGTGATGAAATTAAAACAATAATGATCTTACAAAAAACAGTGCGCATTGTAGGACTCGAACCTTGGTCGACAAGTTATAAAATAATAGTTCTGTCAAGAATGTTATATGCATTTTTATTGTAAAGAATGTACGTATTCTTACTGTAAAATTCAAACGTTGACTGGTGTTTCACATTGTAGGGCCTTGTCTCAAAATATGATTCATATTTGGTAATAATGCACTTTAGCACTGGGATCTTAAACTTTAGACAACTTTGTCAGTGAATGAATATCGAGCCAAGTCAAGGCAATTTTAGAATGGAATAAGTTTTTCGTCCTTAAAAAAAATATGAACAACAAGGAAAAAAGCCTGACATCGTTTTGTCATAATAAATGGTATTCGGTAAAAATAGATATGTAAGAAATATCGCAACGTTCCAAACTACTAACCTTATAAACGTTTTTTTTTACATAACTTTACTTATTTTTGTTTGCTTGTATGTTGTTAAGCACAAAGCTACTCAATTAGCTCTCTGTGCTGTGCCCACCGCGGGTATCGAAATCCTATTTTTAGCGTTGTCAGCACTCAGACTTACCGCTGAGCTAAATAGGACTATTTCAATAGCAACCGTCCTTCTCTTAACCTGGGGACCGTCTCAATCCCAGTTGTCAGATCTTATAGCATTCCTTCAACATTCCGAGTCTTCTGGTGGGTCAGTGGTAAGTTTACGCTAAAATCTGAGATTCGATTCCGCACGGTGGACAGGTTGCAGGTATCCCATTGTGTAGCTTTGCACTAAAAGGAGCAAAAGCAACATTCTATACAGATAGGCTTGCTGCGTTCGAAAAATACGAAGAGAAAAAAAGTTAACCAATGTTTTAAAGTACAGCAAAAGCCTAGCTTGAGCTTAGAAATACTTTTTTCTTCGTAGAAATATGTATGCCTATCACTGACATATAGTATTCCAATTTGTTTTTGTTTGTTTGTTGTCGTTTTTCTTTTCGTATTAAAACAGTTATACACTTTTATAAAAAGGGGCATACTATATACGTCAAACTTATTACCCATTTTAAATACTTTCCTTTAAGAAAATTGGATGATACAATACTGTTCGGTTAGAATTTCGACTTAAAAAAGCATTGTTTGCCATTGCCAGAACCGGTTCTTCTCGCCTAAATTAATTTACATCGTTTGCCATGACAATTGTTACGTGTGATTAATAAATTTGTTCCTCTAACCTACTTTTATTTGTGGTGAAAAGTTTTTGTGGGTTTTCCCTGAGAACCAACAATCTTACTAAAGATGGCGCTTCTCTCAAAGAACGAAGAGCTTCAGCAGCTGGAAGACCCCATAGGGGGATTTCATTCACCTGTCAAACAAAGAAGGCACAGAACTATTATTAAAATAAATATGTTTTTTATCGAGTTTCCTTAACATCTTTGCTTATGAAAAAGTAATTCCTAATCAGCAACCTAAGTAAACAATACGTTTTCTCATACGATTCAGGACTATTAATAATTCTATAGAAGTGTCAGCCAGCTGATACAAAGATATATATAAATATATACACACACATATAGATACACGTATACATATAAAAACACAAACACATTTTTTTGTTTTTTAACATAAACGTTCCTTTCTGTTCTTCACTTTTATCCCATTTTCGCAATTTTACGTTATGTAATACCAGCTGTGGACGTTGTGAGCTTCGGCTAGACATTGGTAGTTTATGTTTAACCTAGATATTTTTAAATTAATAAAAATAACCATAATTCGTCGAAGGGATTAAAGAATAATAAAAAAATCACAAAAATCACCTTACATACATATATGTATATTGTATTAAACTAGACCAGTGTTTCTTAAACGGTGGGTCGCGACCCCAAGGGGGTGGTTCGCGAGCAGGTTTCCACTTTGTTATGAACTACGACAGACTACGCTATGAAACATTCAACATGTTTTTTCATCCTTGTAGGAAAAGTGGGGGGGGCGCGGTCGCGACGACCAAAGTCCGGACGCGGCGGTCGTCTACAAGTTACGGCTGAGAAGCACTGAACCAGACAAAAATTGTGTTATATATATATATATTATATATCTGTCTTTATTCAACCCCCTTATTATTACCGCCCTTCTGGAAATCCAAACGTATACAGTATTTACAACTTAACGTATTCCAAGAAATGCATACTGTTGTAATATATTTTTTTTTTTTGTAATGTACATAGTCAGGGTTAATGATGATACTATCATGAAACGGTTAACTTAAACAAAGTAAGATTACAATAGAACTCACTGCTAGAAGAAGGTCACCGGCTTGGAGCCGTCCATCTTTATAAGCTGCTCCACCTTTATGGACTTTAGTCACACATACCGATTCCTATAAATGATGGTCAGGCTTAATTAGTAATGTTATAAGTATTAATTAAAATCTTATTAGTGATACTAGTAATCCAACAATGGTATTTTTGTTTTCTCATCAATGGATATCAGTGTTTTTCATCTGATAAACGTTGTTGCAGCGAGATAGGTGGTGTTCAAGTACGAACACAATGATATTTCATTACTGTTATGTACATTAATAAATCATTGTTAATAGTCTTAATATTCATTATTGAAAATTATAACATCAAATAGTCGTTCACAATATTTCACTGTCTGAAAGGAATTGTACTTACTAAATAAGTATCATTCCCACCAGCTACACTGATTCCAAGCTCATGTTTGTCCTTCTTCAGCACTATAGTCGTTTCCACAAAGTCCCGTATGTTACTTATTGGTCCTGTGGGAAAATATTATATTGAGTTATTAGGCAAGCAGATATTAACTGTAATTCGAAGAATCTATTTATTTCGTACGTTAACCGTAATTTGAAGAATCTATTTATTTCGTATATTAACTGTAA